TAGTGGGTCTCTTCGTCACACCCGAAACAGTTTAAATGCACTGGTCATGGCTTCTCATAAGAACTTTGAGAACTAACTCTCGAAGCTAGTCACTAATGAACACAATTTAAACAACTGTATACTGACATATATATATTAGTGAATTACGCTAAATCCTGAAAACCAGTTCACCTGGCATTTAAATACGACATATTTAATAGCTGACACTTCACATGACAAATAAATAACCAATTGATGATAATTCACAAAGATTTTCAGAATATTTTATATGTTAGCTAATAATAAAATCTTGTAAACACAAGGTACGGTAGATCAATTTCTACTTATCACCTAGATGTTTCACTAATAGTCAATAACAATCCTAAATGTAAATCGAAAAAAAACAACAGTGATAGATTGTCTTCTACCAAGTTAACGTGTGAAAATAGTTATGAATGAATCAGTATTAAAAGGGGATTACAATGAAATATTACTATTCAACTTCCCCGTTTAGTCCAAACAGCTTCATGGTAATAAAATGCTTTAAACTTAGACATATTTAGGTCGAAATTATGATTGTTTTTAGCATAACATTCAATGGTGCTCATTCATCATGTTTTATTATGAATTCAATTTCGGGTGTGTTGGGATGATCCAGAAAATTTCTCGCAAAAGACATGACAAGCTCAGAAAACATTAAGAAGCATTTTATCCAATCAGCGTTTGATTAGAAGTTTTGCTAGAAATATCGCTAAAATGAAGTCACATGTAGATGTTCTGATTGGCTGATTACGACACTGTTACTATGTTTAGTAGTATTCTAGAATTTTCAGGAAAACCCAAGGACTTCTAAAATACTATAAAAACCCTATGTTTTTTGTAGATAAATGAACCTTTGGAGTAAAAAGCTTCTCGTATATTTTGCGCCTTTCCTCTCGTGTTCAGTTCGCTGTGCAGTTTTAACTTGGGGGTTAAGAGACTAGCTTAGGATTCGAGCATAGCGTTCAATCAGCAAGACTTATCATGGTGTCCTTTTTTCTCAGATTGTGCTTGAAACGTCTAAGTCACATGATCGAAACCATGTAAATTTTATTTCCATTACTCTAAAAGTCTATTATATCTAAAGAGAAGCATTATTTTCGTTCAAATGTGGTTCATTTACAGTTTGATTCTTTTTTTCGTAATACATTTTTGTTAAAAGTATCAAGTTAAAATTTATCAATTTATTTGATCAGGATAAACCACGGAACAAAATTTCGTTTTACAGTTTCAAACAAACATTGTTTGAAAGTGACTACAACTTCTTTTAGTAAGAAACCTTGTACCCCGTTTCAACGAACACTATTTTGGTTCGTAGAAAACGTTTCGGACTAAAAATTACGGTATTATATTGGATAATTGATGTATTGACCTTTCCCTTTCAGAAAACTTTAAGAATAATCAAATTGATTCATTGATAAGAACGCCACCGTCCATCTCTGCTTATAATGCTTGTGACTTAAGGCAATATCGAGCCCATCCACACAAAATCTACATTTGCTAATAAGAAGCTGACCATTTGCAGTCCTAGACGTTAATGGGAAGATTCAAACAACCAACATAAAGTGAATTATCTGAATATTCCTTAAAAAACTTTAAAAATAGTGAGAATAACTGGTCAAAAAAGTTAGGCAAGCATTTGTGTGAATGGAATTAATCGTCATTATCAGTTAAACACTAATTCAAAATGATACTGAATGATAAATATTGCCAAAAAATAAAAAACAAATATTTGTAATTTATTCAGTCTGTTTATTTCGGGATAAAAAATATGCCAATTTTAAATTACTAAGTTTTCTCTTTTATTTTTAAATCATATTGGAAAGACGGAGATCAGTCAAAATCAATACCAACTCAGAAACTCCAATGAGATACCATTAATTTCCTTCTAATTTCATTCATCAAAGTCACCATGACAACGCGATCACGTACAGACTTATCAGAACATTGAACACCAATTATTACATTTACAAAACAAACAAAAAAATGTTGAAAATAATTATGGGTATCGAGTTATCTGCAAAAATTACAAAGACAAAATTATTTAATCACTCCCCACTGCATAAAGCAAGCGTATTTCTCAGCTTCGAAATTCTTCTTCTCAAAAAGGATTACTATCTTTGATCACTGGACTATCAGAAATTTTACTAACCTACCTAAAAGTAGACGAATAACAACTACGTCAAGCTCAGGACATAAATGTTGTACAAAATTATAAACCCCATTATGATGAATACCGTAGAAATTTATGCTTCAATACATAACACTATTCGGATATCTGACGGATCGATATTATCTTCAGCCTTAAGAACAAACTATTAAGTATATACCGAGCAATATCTCTGCAAGCGCTATTTTGACCCAAAGTTGTATGAAATGAAGATATAGGATAAAACCTAATATGGCTATAAACTGTTCATAGGACGTAAAGATCCACTGTATGAGGAAAAGTCAATAATTTAAACCCAGGAGTTATTGATCACTTGTTATCATATTATTATCAAAGGAACCTACTTTCCATCACACGTCCATCTTTACATGCTTTCGTAACATGAAGTAAATTATTGCAGGTGAAATTCAAAAAGCAGCTCATTTACACCTTGAACTGGCTGTTCGTGAGTTTTTACACCAAAAACAATACGCTTTTGTATAAAACAAATTGTCTACAATCAGTTATAACTTGATCTGTTCCAAAACTGTCTAAAGGCGTAACTATATATTTTACATAATGTCACATCGTTGAGAAATTGATTATGAATTCTTTAGATAATTGTGATAGTCAACAATAACTGGTTTTCATTCTAACACTTCAGACTTTAATAAGAACTAATGTATTTTACTAAAACATGTTTAGGTTCATGACAAAAATGTCACGATGTAACGTGAATTCGAGTTAGAAAATAGCAAGTAAGACCTGTAATTTTTTTGGTTAAATTTGTGTTCCTCTTTAATACTAGCTCAGGGATCATCTTGATTTGAATATACACATTTTTAGTATGAGGTTGTGGATCGTGGATGCGCACTGTTGAGGAGTCCCATACTAGGAAGAAACGGCCGTCCAGTGCTTTCAGGTTTTCAATAGTGGTCTAACATTCTTCAATTTATGATCTTAATTTTAAAAATTATACATTTTCATCAAATATGTGTTCATCTTTCCAATCACTAATAACATTTCTTCCCATAGAAGAAAAACAAATATAACACTCTAAAAGGGAATTACATTTGTACGAATCTCACTGCTTGAACTGAAAACAAACCCAAGTTTTCGCTTGGCAATCTGGTTCAAGCTTTTTGTAAGAAATATCATATTATGAAAGGATCTACTATTTCGGTGGAGCAGTAAGAACTAAGAATTGACTCTGGATTGCTCGTACTGATTTATGCGTCATTGGCCTAGTCAGTAAGTCAGTGTTCTAATTTGCGATTGTATCACGTGATAATTAACAGTCCGTAAGAACATAAAACATACAATTTACTCTTAGATTTTTTCAGTAGTGTAAGGAATGTGTACTTTCAACTAAGAAAACTTACAAATTTTCCATAGAAAACTTTTTTTTAAAATATGCACTTAATTTTAATTCAAGGCAGTAAACTACCCTACGTAATTTAGTTTACTTATAAGTAGTTTGTCGTGAACTTGAAAAATAATAACAGCAAAAGAACTAATGCTTAATGATCACGTGCATATCAATAAACGTTTTTGGGAGTTTAATTCATCACCTAATCGTTTTCATTTTTTTATTGCATAATGAACATTGATTATCATAAAGGTATGAATGGATGTCAGCTAAGAAACTACATATTTGTTATCCGTACAATAATTATGAAATATAACCAATTGTATTTGGGAAAACAGGAAGATGTTCAGAAAACAATACTCAGATTGATCACTAATGTTCAGTCCATGTGAACTTACATCCGATATTCAGTGACCGTGAGTTGTTTCGACATTTGTTCAATACGGAATCTTTAAAAAGAATAATCAGTTATGAGAAATTCGTATTTCTTTGATACCCTAGGATGTGATTCGTTGTTATTAATGGTAATTCTATCACTTTAAACTTAACACAGTACATTTCAATACGTCAAGTTTTATTGGAGGTATGTCAATTTCAAAACAAAAGGCCGGTAAATATTCGGTTACTTGGCTAAATGCATAATTAGTTATCTAAATGATATTTGGCACTGAAACAAGGCTTTTAATCAGGTAATCAAACACTAACTTCAAAATTACTTACTACTTAACTGACCACTGACTTATGTAACTAATTGCCTGAGATCCTATCTACATGGTAGAACAACTAATTATCCGTTTGATATCTTATCAGTGGTTCACTATTTTAATATCTCTACACAAAATACTTGATAAAATATAGTTTCATTGGCTACTTTTGAAATATTATGTAACGAAGGACAGATAAGTTATTACCATTTTACTGAATTACCTGTTTAAATTGAATTTTCAGTCTTCACTTAACAATAATAACTCTAATAACGGAATTCCAATCAAGATTCATTACTCAAAATCTTATTTAGACATGTATTCGTTTTTTAGTGCCCTGTTGATCTGACTCTGGTTTGATCATATAGCGACGCTAACGAAATATACATGCCCCAAAACCTCGTAAATAATTATTGATTTAATACGCGTCAGAGAGTAACGGAATGAAATAATTCAAGTACAGGAATGGATTTTGGATATGTATGTTTCATACACTCGTTGATCCAGACAGACAATTAGAGGAACGAAGCGGAAAAGCACATTGGAGAAGGCAAACATGACAACTCGATTTGATTAAGCGTAATTCAGTATTCATAGTCAGACAAATATACGCTAAAGACATGTGATGAATAGGATAAGCGACGGGCACACACTCAAATATAAACAGTCAACGTTACATGAAAATAATTTACAAGGTCAAAATGTGATTCAAGAAGGATGAATAGATTAGTTTTTCCGAAAGCTAGAGTAATCCATATGGGATTGATAGTGTACCAGACACTACACCGTTATACCTACACCTCCTTTAAATACTATACTATATCATGAAAATCATTCTTATTTTATAGTAATAACAGTAGGAACAAACTGTATTCTTTTTTGTAAGCAATTCATGAAAAACAAACCAAATGGTCAAATGAATCTAAGCATACGGTCAACAATAATTTTATTGACTCCGATCAATGCACGGGAATGAATAAAGACGCGGATCTAACGCCGCACCTATATATTGCAGCCAAATTAATCAACCCGCATGTATGTTCTTCACCTATTTTATTGGCTTTCAATATTTTAATAATTTTTTAACAATAAATACGGGTAAGTTACTTGAGAATACATCATATCCAAGTTCGTAAACCTACAAATGACATGTTTAAAGTAATATAGGATTTATGCAAAATGCCCATATAGTACATGTGTATATATGTAATATATTTCTAAAAGGGTATTATTAGTTTTTCTGAGTATTTCCCAGTCGGTTTGTTAAATTAATTAAAATAATCCAAGAAAAGACAAATCGTATCCAAAATGAAATTTCGTAATTATATAATTTTCCTCAAAATATGGTTACTTTTGTTGCATGTTATTGTATGTAATGGTGACTATGGAAAAGCTTCCTACGATCAAGTGGATAGTGAATACAAGGATGCAGTAGAACAAGAAATAGTCAAAGCACCTTTGAGTTTCATGCCAGGTACGAAAAAAGTTACATTTTTAATCATTCATAATTATAGTAATGTTAACTGAATTTTAGTGTCGTTAAGTACTCTTAGATGGATTAATTGAGGAGTTTTCATTGTCATTCTAGATAACATTATCAGAGCTGAATTCATGTAGAAGTGAGCCTCTTCGTTATCATACAAGCATTCTAGTGGCCTAGTCTATAAAAACGAATCAGCTTTAAAAGCATACATCTGAGCTGAGAAAATTTCTATATCATATGAACACAAGATTTTTTGTTATCGTAAAAAATTATTTATAAAAAGAAATAAGAGGTTAGTTCAATCAGTAAATCTGATTGACAGCATTCGTAGAATCCATCACACTTCTATTACCAAGTCAGAGTCCTTTATTGTTTATGTATTAAATTTAATCATATTTGTATATAACATCTTACAAAGTACTCTTTAGATATTGAGTGAAAGAAAATCGTTAATGCTTATCAATGAAGAATCAAAATATAAGTAGTGTAATATCACAACTAAGGACTCACAGTGAATGACTCACAAATTACTACTATCAAGAATAAATAATTATGCAGTTAGTCGCTTTGAACTTGTAACTTCATAATTCCATGACATTTTGATTCAGAAACCGTTGACGCGAATTGAAACACCTATACCATCTTAGACATAATTTCAAACAAGGTGTTAATACATAAACTAATTTAATAATCTAAACGTATAAGGTAAGAATAGGCAGAAAACATCAAAAAATTTCATTATTTATTATTTATCGAGAGATTTCTTGTAATCCGGTTAGCTGTACAACGACTGGTTAACGATGAATAAAGAAAGTATCTGTTCTTTACAACATTGGATTAGATTTACAAGTGATTCATGTCTGAGAATAGTATTCTCCCCAACAAAAATGTATCCGTGCTATCGTTGTCGTCATTTGTTAGTTAGATTATAAGTTTTTTCCTAACCTTAGACAAATCGCCAAGTGAAAATAAGACGACTATTAAATAATGAATAAATATAAACTGAACCATTAGTACAACGGATTTGTGGAGATTGTAGTATTTTTCGGTTTAAATCATATACTGATCTTAGCTAGACCACTAATGAAAACCTAGAAGCACTGGACGTTTGTTTCGTCCTAGTATAGGACCCAGCGGTGAGCATCCAAACTGAAGTACTCAACTTCTGATTTTACTAATTTTAAATATATGATTACTCCAGAAAAACTTTTAGCCCTAATAGTCTAATATCTACTGAACAAATAAAAATGTCATACAAATATTATACTTAAGGACTTTTCATTTTCGTCAATCCAACAATTGGATGGAAAAATTTATTCTGAATCATTAAAATGAAACCCAGCTATCATATATTTGATCATATGCTTTCGAATGATCTCTGTTCTCAAAATAGAAAATGGTTAATTTTATAGGGGAATGTTGAAGAGATTTTCTTATAAGAAGAAAGCTAAATCTGTGGGTTATTAAATAGAAATCAAATCTGTTTGAGTAATTACTAGTCAGTCAGTCAGCTACAACGTAGGACCAGACACATTTATGCATCGGTCCAAGTTGCCATACCTCGTTAGCACAACAAGATGAACACCGGATTCATAGAAGTAATTAATGCAGTGGTGGTAGTATATAAAAGATAGGTTGTACATAAAGATATAGTATAGGAAGGAAGAAAGTTATGAAACAATTTTGAGTAATTACTCCGTAAAATCTGGAGTATCCAGCTTACAAAACTTAACTAAAAATAAATTTTCCTTGAAGTAATGAAAAACTAAGATTTTCAACAAAAAATGATTAGAAACTTTGTCTTAAAGTATACTTAAGCTAATCTACTGTATTGTTTCATAAGGAGAAGACAAAAGGATTAGAATATGAGAATTTAGTTTCTTGAAATAGATGTACGTTTCCAAGTACGAGTACACAATTTTTTAGTTGAGATTATTCAATACTAATATTATGTAAAACAGTAATAAGATAAATGATTTTAACTTACATACCATTACCCGGACTAACCAATCTCTAAAATTTAACGAATGAAAACCAGAAATTACATTTAAATTCAGTCGTTAGCTAGGAAGAACATCCAATGAAGTATGAGATTATCCATCCGTATTTTAATGTCCAATAAGTGTATGATGTTCAGCATTCTAAGATATTTCTCCGTCTACTTAATGAGTGACTGCTATAGAGTGTAATTGTCATCTTAAACATTCTAGGTTTTCCCCATCTGTCTGACATGAAAATGTCAATGTAACGGATTTCAAAATGTAACATTAAAAGCACAAATAAAGTGAAAGTTAAGGCTTGAATTGATATGTTTAGTGAAAACTGTATTCTTTTGTACAACACTTAATGAACGGATAAGTTTTCGAAAGTGATTGATACCATGAACTGAGTATTCGAAAACGAATGAACAACTGTACATGGCCCCATAATTCTAGATTATTAGATGAGAAATGACGGCTGAAATCAATTTGCAAAACCAAACACGAAAGTATTTATGATAACTACGTATAATATATCAATATTTTGCGCGTCCTTCATTAAAACATAACTACCTTTTCTATACACTGTTTTCAAGTTTGCAAACCTCAACAAATACATACATTTTCTCAAAAACAAATTCGATGTGCATGCGGGATCAAATGTCAATACTTATGTCAAGCAAAGACGACAAAAGAAAAAGGTGAACAAGGAAAAACATGCAGAAGAGTGTGTCATCAAAAACCATGTTACCGTCCATCAATACACAAAGTTTACCACTATAGCCTAGCAGGTGGTCTCTGTAGAATGTAAGTATGATCTTATTGATTAAATTACATTAGCAATTATTACAGTAATGATGTAATCAAAGGTTCCACTTTCAAAGTTTTCCCAGACTCCTATACTCTTTGTAAATAAAATTGATAACTGTGACTAGTACATCATTCTCTGTTTATAGTTGTATTTAGAGAATTTGAAGATAATTGAACAATACACTTTTGTTGAATTAGCACGAGTTCCTATCGTATTTTCGGCACATTTAAGACTGGTCGACACATTCTGTTTATTAGTCAGACAGAGCATAATTGGTTACTAAGTAATAGGCAAAAAATTATTAACAGGAGATATTTGAAAATCAAGTAGTTCAACGATTTATGAGGTCAAACAGGTATTCTCGGTGGAATTGGATGGTCGTAGTTATTTCGCGAATTAACCAGTGTTGAAGATGTAAATAATTGGATTCTGACTCAGCAGTCTAAAATTAATGCGCTCCTCATAAGACCTGAAGGTTACGACTCCTACCATGAATATAGTTTTCAATACGGAAGAGTCCAAAACTAGAATAAAGCACCTCTTGATTATCCACGGTTTATAATGGTTCTCTCCTTATCTGGTGTCTAATAAAACTAATCGTTCCAAGATCCCAAAGAGCTGCAGCGGTATATGTAGAAAAACTCAGCCATAACGTGTTGAACTAACCTTTGTACCTAAACTAAACAATTAAAAACTTGTCCCACGTATCTTTCCTTGAATTGAAACCATTAAATTAATAGTCTGGTGAAATAAATGTCATACACTAGAAAAGTTGTAACATTAAATTTGGCTCAAGTATTGACGACTCCATGTAAACATTTATCGAATATTTTCGACATTGTTAACTTTAAAATATATCCTCAAACTCTGCTATCATCGAATATTGATTTATGTAACATCAAAATGTTGTCTGAATGAAGTGAGAAACGACAAGAATATGAATATCTTTATTCAACTAATGCTAGATAATTGACAATAACTAGTCGACACTCAAAACTATTCATCAAGCTTGTAACTTGAGTTTCATTTAACACATTTTCCAATGATAGTTAATCTTACTTTTACTTGTAATAATATGGCCAATAATACACATATGATTATTTTAAAGCAATATTGCTAAAAATGTATTAAGTCAGAAACAATGGCGATATTGTTTTTCAACAATAACCTTTCATTTTTATTTTTCCAAGCCGTTTCAAACAATATTCTTAATATTCTGATTTTACAAGGTGGAATGTTTGTACATATCATGCAAAGTGTGAAGGTAAAACACGTAGATGGGTACAATATCATCTTTCTTCATGTCAAAGAGCAAATACACGACAACGATTCAAGTTATGGTTTAAAGATATATAGTTATTATAAAAATATATACATCTATATTTACCACTGACAACTTCCATTCTCTCTTTTGTGTGATCAATATTTATAATAAAATCCTAGTAAGAAATATCTCAGACATTTTTTCTAAATGCTTCTACGATTACTATTACTTGTCATTTCGATCATTTTACTTTTTATTTGTACGACCGAAAATACAAATAAAACATTTTATTGAAATCAGATTTCACCAAGATTCAGGCTTCTAAAACAGACCTTTTTTATTACTCTACTCAAATAATCGCTCCCAAATGCCCAGATAAGGCCGAGAGTGGGGAGGGCCCGCCCTCTATCTCGAAATGCTCTCACAGCCACGCGTATACAGCCTCTGTCAAGGAAGTCCTACTAACTGCCTTCTTGTGGCAGGGGTGTTGTTTACGAAATTGAGAGGACGAAAAGCGAATGTCCAGCGCCTTAACTGGGACAGTGGACACAGTGTGTCCACCTAGGGGAGTTGGAAAACCCTGATACCAATTATTAGTCGCCGTCTACCATGGGACTGAATCTCCTCACGATGCTTCTCTACCTTGTGGATCAGACCTTCAGGTCAAAGGCTCCGACTGTGGTTCCCTAAGAAAACCACCTGCTTCGGTCTGGGCACCCGGACAGTATTATAGCCTTCACACAATTGTGTGGCACATATATATCTGGTGCCCCCTTTGTACCAATATTTATGTGTTCAAATAAATAAACCCAAATAATCTGAGATGAACGTTGTAAAGAAAACTTTGAAAAATGGTTCCTGGTGTCTGAAATAGTTACCCAGGTAAATAAAATTGCTGCCACATAATTTTCACTATATCAGTCAATAAACTCACTGTGGTTCACTGGAATTTAAGCTAAATGTAAGTGCCATGAATTATCAGTACTTAGTGAACTTGGTTTACGAATTCACCCTATTACTTCGTAACACAGGATTGGTAAGCATCCTAATGGACTGGATACAATTTAGTTGCGAATAAGCTTAGAGGGTGATAGTCACCAGTAGTAATAAGTTGTTCACTCTAAAATAAAGTGACAATTTTCTTTAGAAGAAATCAGTGTCAGTCTACAGCTCCTAATCTTAAAGCTCCAAATATCAGAAACGCTTCAGAACTAGGTGATCGTCGCTTGAAAATAACAATGTCCCATACTAATCAGTAAAGCAGCTTTTTATGAGACCTATTTCCGATACTTTATACAACATGAATCGTCGAAATATTATATATTAATCTCCACTTCTTCAAACCATTTAGGAATCGAAATGTCATGAAAAATACGGTACTCATATTTGTTTCCAATCTTTTAAAGGATGCTTTCTACATCAATTCAATTTAGCTCAGAATTAAAGAAAAACCCAAAGCAGAATAGGTCTCCGACTTATTACTAAGCTTCAAACAGAACTTATGAAATAAAAACAAGATTTCGAGTGGACGTTGCCTTGCTACAATAGATGGGGTAGCGGTACACTTCCTGACTGTTTGATGTTAACTCGATTCCCTAAATTAGCAATTAGTGAGTAGTTCTGTAAAAAAGGAACTGAATTTAACGTCCTGCAAAGAGCACAAAACGTTTAGAAAATAATACTTTAGTGTAAACCAAGACACTAAGAAAGGTCTACTTAGACGTATAATTTCAACAAAGAAAAATGTACTGCTTAAAATCATAAGTTTCAAGCCCCATCATGTCAACATCACTTATACAGATTAATCAAATTTTGGGACCCAAATCACTGATTGCTGGATCTCAGACATTGAAAATTGTCTTACATGGGTCATCGTTACTTTCAATAACAAAACTAAGTCTACATATTTATTACATAAAACACAACTCCGACAATACTGTGTTAATAAGCTGAACAGTAAAATCCCCAAAATGGAAAATAACACGGTCTTTACCAGATATGAACAGATTTTGTGGAATTTTTTTTCCGATTTTCAAATGAAAACAAAATGTATAAGAAAATTTTATATTATAATTGTAAATTATAAGAAACTGAAAACGAAACAAAGTTGTAAAATAAATAAATTATATATTTGTAATATCCCAATGAGTAGAAAAATTAGATTTTCTGACGTTTCGTGACTCAGTGTAAGCCACTTCTTCAGAGAATAAATAACCAAATTAATACTAATCCAAGTTTAAGTAGTACAACGGAACAATCAAAGAATATTAGGTGATCAATCAAAAACAGGTCTGAGTAAATCACTGTCACGTCATTTCATTTCGGTCAAGGTGATTCATAAGCGACATGTATGTAATTTTGTGTGTATGTATGCACTGTTAATAATGAAAACTGTGTGACCTTTATAATTACAAAGGATAGAGTTTGGTTTGTAATGTAATGGTGTGAAATTGTAAATAATATCAGACTGAGTGACTAGGATAGATGGTCCAAGTAGGCTGTATGGTAAGGCCTTCCTTTCTATTGAGAGCTGTGGGATTAAGCATTATATGGAAAGCTTCAGCTACTCTTCTTTCTTTGTAGTTAGAAAAACCTTCCTGTAGTATTTTGATATTTTTGAAATCAATTTGATGACTGTTGAAAATGGCGTGAACTGCTATTGCCGATTTAATCTGAAGTCTATCTAATTCTACAGGATTATTAGGCGGTTTCTTTGTGTACCTGATATGTTCTTTAGCGCGAGTTAAGATTTCGCGAGATGACTCTCCAATATAGAAGGCATCACAATCGACACAACCTAATTTGTAGACGCAGTTCTGTGTAGACATGAATGGTATTTTTTCTTTTAATCGAACTAAAGTAATTCGAAGTGTGTTAGTTGTTTTGTAATATACTTTAATTATGTGTTGTCTTAATATCCGTTGGAGTTCTTCAGTTGTGCCATGACGGTATGATAAGACTGCAGTACCAATCCATGGCATTTCATTCGAATTATTATTATTATTATTGTGTACTGAATTGTCTTGTTTTAATATACTTCTAATAATCTTCATAGGAAAATTATTAAATTGTAAGATGCTAATTATATTCTTTTGTTCTTTTTGTTTGTCCTCTTCTGAAGAGATGATCTTGTTGGCTCTTCTAACAAGATTTAAGGCTAACGAAATTTTAGCACTGAAAGGATGTGCTGAATGGAAGTCGATGTAACGATTGGAGTGTGTGGGCTTTCGGTAGATGGATAAATTTAGAACTCCATTTATATTTCTTTTCACTAAGCAATCTAAGAACGGTAGCTCTCCATGTTCATTTTCATTCTCATTCGTGAATTTGATGTGAGATGAAAGTGTATTTAACAGTTTTGAAAACGATCTCAGATGAGTCTTTTTTATTACTACAAATGTGTCATCTACATATCTGAGCCAAATTCGTGGTTTAATTTCGTTGGAGAAAATCTTTGATTCTATGTGTGTCATAAAAAGATTGGCCACAATCGGGGACACGGGAGAACCCATTGCTACACCATTTGTTTGTCTATATAACGTTCCGTTGAAGGTGAATAGAGTTGAATTTAAGCAGAGTTTTAACGATCTCACGATTAAACTGATGCTTAAAGAACATCTGTCCGATAGAGTAATGTCATTCTCTAGTAAGCCACTAATGAATTCTAAGCATATATCAATCGGAATACTAGTATATAAAGAAACAACATCAAAGCTGTAAAATGCTTTATATACAGTAATTCATAGTATATTTATGAGATATACAATTCCTATTTTAAAAATAAGCAAAGTTTTGAAGAAAAGTGTAAATGTTACTTACAAGACAGACTGAGAACAACACCTTAGCACAACATTCATGCATATTATATGACTACGTAAAAAAGAAAAAGACTCATTTTTATGAATTAGAATAAATGGAAAAAGTTCTATTTCAACCTAATACATTATAAATTGACGAAATCAGAGCAATCAAACAAACTAACAACTTAAATTACAAAATAAATATCTCTACATTTATGTTTATATAAATTTACATTTGCGCAGTATTCACAAAATTATCACTTGAAATTAAATGTTCCGGTAAAAAATACTCATTTGGATTTAAACCCATCGCTTTTCTTACAGTATATGGATGGATGAGATCCCCTGGACGAGCATGTTTCGTCAGTTTAATCAGTTTTTCAGTTAGTCTATGTGCGATGGACATTTCATTTGGAGTTGGTCGCAGTGTTGAGCCTAGATTTGCAGCCTGAGAAGTGTTACTAAGTCTCAAATATTGTGAGCAATAAAGTGCATTTAAATCTTGTGCTGATTCAAATAGTTCTGTACTCAATTGCTTAGCATCATCAGCAACACCTAATGGAAATAAAACAAATATTTTCCATGGTAGAAAGCGTTTATTTGACAGATATATATATATATATATATATATATATATATATATATATATATATATATATATATAAGCGTACACATTGCAACTCTCTTACTATCTAGAAAATAAGTAAAAAGACTTCGAAATAGTGGAAGAGATTGTAGCTCAGGTGGGTGATTTTGATGGAGTTTCGTCCTCTGAGTTGTATGCTAGAAGTTTGTGCTGATGTTCAGAAGAAGAATGGAAACTCCGAAACTAGACCAATCACAGGGAACTCCATCCAGTACAAAACTTCCTCTCCTATACAAAAATTATCAAGTAGTACAATCTCACCAGCATTATGAAAGCTTTAGCTGTGCTCATTATGTCACTCCTCAAGACAAAGTAGGTAAAAAGGATTCAAGCATGTGACCGAGTGTTTGAAATTTGATTTTCTCTTTACTCTCGTATTTATCCGATTGAAGATTACAGTAAATTGCCATCTGCACTGACCACATTAAGTGATATTTATCAAAACTGCCACTTTCTATGCTTTCGTTAAGTTCTTTAAAAGATATGATCGTAGAGATGGCGTTTTCTTCGTTTGACATTTTAGAGATTAATCTCATGCTCGGAAACACAGATCATAAACATGTTTGGTGAATACAACGAAGAAATGTCTTCACCAATAATTCCAGAATGTTTGGAAAGGCTATAAATTCGTCTGAATGCAAAGTGTTGCTTCACGACTAATCTGTGTCAGCTTATGCTATGACCATGGGAACCTAAATAGTTGAGTGCATTGACCACTTCACTTATGATGGAAGTATCCTCGGACTTGATTTGCTCATCTCTGACGAAGTTTCGGAACGGACAAAAAAGACCTTGACTGTTCTACCTTTTACCGCCTGTCATATACTAGACATCTGTCTGCCGGCCAAAAAAGTAAATATAATGCTCAGTAGTCTACTTTTGTACTTTGTGATTGTGAAAAAACCCCAACGGGAGCAAAATACATCTGTAGGCTACCAATATTTGATTACAGACTTACTAGAAGCATTTCTTACATAATTTTGCAACAAAGCACATAGTTTTAAGTAGAAATGGTACATCGATTGGTTAGGATACAATTATGGACCTGAGTGGTTGGGACACATTTTACGTGAGACTAGACATTGATTAATAGAATGCACAACGACTACTGGTGTAGGAGTAGGTTATAGGGAGTCTAGGGGTGATGAGAGCAAGATATTAGTTCACAAGCAAACTCTCTACCGAATATGCAACTCCTTGAAATAATCGACTTAATGAAAATTAAAAATGTAACTAACTTTGTTCTTCAGACTGCAAATGTACACTTGAATGGATGGAGTTATGACGATCAACACAATCTAAGTCGCATGCAGCAGGAGAGTTGTTGACATCTGTAGATTTGATACTTTTTTCATCAGAATTAACTTCTGAACACGAATCAAAAGCAGACAGTTTCCCTTCCTTCTTAATAAGGTCACGTGTAAATGCATTAGCTAAACACATACTGAATACATACTCATCAGGTACATCAGGACCAGGAATTATGTCTTCTAATTCAGATGATAATTGGGCTATTTCACGTTGTTCACCTTCTGCAACCGCAAGAGAGACAGCTAACTCTTGATCTCCCATTTCCAAGACAGTTGATATTATTTCATCTGTTATCTCGAAACCATTTGCACAACTATATGGATCAAAACTATTCGATGAACAGCTTCCAAGTACAAATGGAGTACGTGCCGGTAGCCATGTGGTTCCTAATAACAATTGATTTGACTCTGGAGTGCAATGAGAAGCCCCACTGTCGTAAACTGGGGCAAATGAGTAATAAGGGCCATAGTCTAAATATGTGTACGGTATGATTTTATTGCGTCGATCTTCTCGGTAGCCACCATTAGGAAGTAAATACGAACCTGAATACAAGTGGCCTGCCTATACAAACAAATTGAAAAAAAGAACTACCGTGGTAACTTATATATCAAGAAAGTAATTATTATCAAAAACTATTATCCAGTTCATTTTACTTACAAGGAAAACCAGCCTTGCAGACTTGAATAGAACCATTTTTGTTTAACTTCATTATAGACCTGTTGCTGGAAATAACACTCTCTTCGACTGAATTTACAGGAATTGATCTCCTACCAGGGGGACCACTAATCGACTTAGAATACGCAGATGACATAGTCCTGTTTGGTGAAGACGCTGGCAAAATGCAGAGTCTTCTGTTGGAACTCAGTAATAATGCCAGGATGTTTGGGATGCGTTTCTCCCCATCCAAATGTAAATTGTTACTCCAGGACTGGCCTACGTCAACACCTGAATTAAGGATAGGGAGTGAAGTAGTCGAACGCGTTGACAACTTCACTTATCTTGGAAGTCTGATCAGCCCTAATGGGTTGGTGTCTGACGAAATCTCAGCGCGGATTCGAAAAGCTCGTTTGGCTTTTGCCAACTTACGTCACCTATGGCGTAGACGAGATATCCGTCTATCAATTAAATGACGAGTATACTGCGCATCAGTTCGCTCTGTTCTACTTTACGGTTGTGAAACATGGCCATTAAGAGTAGAAGATACTCGTAGGTTACTAGTATTTGACCACAGATGCCTTAGAAATATTGCTCGCATCTGCTGGGATCACCGGGTAAGTAATAGTGAGGTTAGACGCAGGGTATTAGGGAACGATGGTAAATCAGTTGATGAGGTGATGAATCTTCATCGACTGAGATGGTTGGGCCATGTGTTACGTATGCCTGAACACCGATTACCACGACGCGCTATGATGACTAGTGTAGGGGATTGTTGGAAGAGAGTTAGGGGCGGCCAAACCAAAACATGGCATCAGTGTTTGAAGTCACTAACTTCTAGTCTGAGCCATGTTGACAGATGCAGACTACCTGGTTGGGGTCCGCGTGACTATCGTAACCAATGGTTGGAGACTCTAGGTGACATGGCTCAGAATCGATCACAATGGCGTAGGTGTATACACTCTTTATCTTCCTTTAAACCTTGAGACTAAAATTGCTTCATATCTCTCTTCCTTCCTATACTATATCCTTATATACAACCTATAATTTATATACTACTACCACCACTGCATTAATTACTTCTATGAATCCGGTGTTCATCTTGTTGTGCTAACGAGGTATGGCAACTTGGACCGATGCATAAATGTGCCTGGTCCTACGTTGTAGCTGACTGACTGAGACAGGAGAGGCTAAATAATACGTATGTGCGAAGTTCTACGTTGTGACTGACTGACTGGTTGAAATAATCGAACAGAGTATCTAACTGATACAATAGACATTCTAACTCAAGTCAGCGATCCCAAAAATGTGTGTAACACCTTTACGAATTTTCACTGTTCCATTTAGTCTAACAATCCATAAGCGACTATCGACAGAAACCCATTTATAAAGTGCCCGTAAAACTAGCACTATATCCACACCAATAAGACTATGAGAAGTTGGGATCGAGTTTCTAGATACACAGTGGATAAACTGAGTTAGTTTACCACAGTGATTAAGTGAGACCAAGTGAACGGTTATGCAAGGATTTTGTACGTTTTTCGGAGATAAAATATATATTGATGGCGTGAGATTATCAAATCTTAGCTAGTAGAGTCTGTTGCTTGATTCGACATAAGGTCGGGACACTGAAAGCCTTCAAGATAGTTTGGAGAACGGTTTCAAGAGGCTTGGGACATTTTAAGAATCCAAATCATACACATCGACTGAGTCATCATGATATACAATCCCAACTGCCATGCCGAGGTGACAGATATGGCAGGACAGGTTTGTCAAATATTTTATCGATGACTGTTGATGATAAATATTCTAAACAACGAACTTGAACGAACCGGTTTGATTTTTTACTTGAACCTGCAGTTTCCCAAACGGACACTAATCATTCAGCTCATGAAAGACTTCTACGATTCCTTCAACTGTAAAAACATATGAATCCCTTTTATTGAAAGAACTCTACAGCAAACAAATTATCTTGGAAAAAGCTTTGTATTCAAAAGCTAGATTTCCATCTAATGAACATAGAACAAATGTTTATTAGGGGTGGCACCTGGAAGAAACTCTACCCATATTGACTTGCTAAAATTGTACGGCTGAGAATTCAGGCCTTCTGGCTAGTTCACAAGACAGTAGAAATTCATAGATAGTACCAACCCTTGAAATAAAGTACTTATCTATCTACAATATGTCACATCTACTTCAGTAAATATACTGTGGTATTTACATTCACTCACACAAAATGAGTTACTTATTTTATTTGAACACATAAATATTGGTACAAAGGGGGCACCAGATATATATGTGCCACACAATTGTGTGAAGGCTATAATACTGTCCGGGTGCCCAGACCGAAGCAGGTGGTTTTCTTAGGGAACCACAGTCGGAGCCTTTGACCTGAAGGTCTGATCCACAAGGTAGAGAAGCATCGTGAGGAGATTCAGTCCCATGGTAGACGGCGACTAATAATTGGTATCAGGGTTTTCCAACTCCCCTAGGTGGACACACTGTGTCCACTGTCCCAGTTAAGGCGCTGGACATTCGCTTTTCGTCCTCTCAATTTCGTAAACAACACCCCTGCCACAAGAAGGCAGTTAGTAGGACTTCCTTGACAGAGGCTGTATACGCGTGGCTGTGAGAGCATTTCGAGATAGAGGGCGGGGCCTCCCCACTCAGCCTAACCAGGGTAACTTTGAGTGCGAAAATACCTATGTATTCAGCCTAAATCCAGTGGTTGAAAGTTGGGTTCTGAAACCACCAGACAACTGCCACTTGTGACCACAGATATTACAAAATTACCCCCAAGTAAATACTATGACAATAGTCTGTCTAATTTGATACTTCATACTTGAAACTTAAATTTAAAAACTGTGTAAAATCTATATGATTATAGAACAAGCTTTTTAACCGACCTAGCTACTTTGATTGTTTAGTATTCTTCGAGCACTCGACAAATCCCCGAAATCAGAACATGGTTTGGACGGGTACGTAACTGTATTCCAAAAAAACCCAGGTAGAATGGTAGTGAATCACAATAATAAAAACGTTATTATATTCATAACTTTACATCAGAAGATTCTAGATTCTTCTCTAATTATTCGCTAACGCTGATTGGTTGCGTGGCCTAATCAGAGTGCTTTACAACTATTGAATAAATAAGACACACAAATAAGCCTAACTCATTGATAAAAAAAGTATTTAACTATGACTAAGGTTCAAATCGAAGAGCTATTCAAATTTGTATCGTTATATCCTACTCTTAAATCAGTGGTAACAAAAGGAAAAGCTAATAAGATATATGCAAACCTCGTCTCCAATACTTTGAACTCGTTCTGTTTCACTGATAATACCATTATTATCTGGATTTAAAATCTTTAAATAGGTTTCCCTGGATATGTCATTACTATCTGATGTTTTGACTTGCAAGTTTCTATCAACTGTCACTCCACTATCTGGTGGACGATTCAAAATAGTGACATAATTTGCACTTAATGAATTAAACCAATCAGTAGTTAGATTTAGCAAACGTTGCGCTTCATTGTGAGCCATTGATTCAATTTGATAATATTGAAGAGCGCTATTGAGGAGTCCAGAAACATCTTTTTGAAACTCAGACAGGCTTTTGTAATATTTCTGGAAAAGTTGTTTTTCCATGTCCAGCAATCCAAATGGACATGAAGGCTACAAGTAACGTAAGAAATAATTGGAAAAGATTTCCACATAAGTTTAAAACATCTATACATTTATGTAACTTGATGAACAGCAATAGAGAGAAAACAACTATAACAGGTGGAAATATAACAATATCTGCCCTGATTGGGGCTGAAATAATACTACTCCAACTAAATAAATAAATAAACCCACTAAGCTAGTTGAAAATTCATTTCAATGAATAATCAGCTCGTCTACACATCCCAGCACAAATTATCAGCATGATGATTTGTTGAATTAAACATAACTGCCCGAAAGAACTCTGTCCTGCACTACACTGTAGTCAAAACAACCAAATAAAGGTTATAAACAATCGACTAGGTATTTTAAAAACAATACATGTGTGAGATGAAATCACAGTGAACAACCTTAGGAACAGATCTAAACAAAAGACAAGTCGGCCATTGAGCTTGTGAACCTGTCACGAACTATACGAGTTAAGATACAGATCGATTTGACGTTACGTCGGCTTAGGTCGCAACAAAGCTAGGTGTAAACAGCCGAATACGATACTAATGCGTAACTGTCGGTCTGATTCGTATGGAGAAATGGAGCTTGCTTACCAAGGGTTTATGAAATGTTAGGAAACAAATGGTCACAGATATTTGGTAATATAAGCAATTATCTTCTAAAAACAGTCAACGTACTATGCTTGTAATTTTTCGTTGTTGTTTATATATGCAATTAATCAGTCTGTCCTCATAGGTGTATTTGAAGTAGATTGAATTGAAATAGCGTTACTTCTTGATGGAGTTCCGTTTTCTAGGACGGATGGTTTATTCGTGAACCTTTAGTTATTTTTCCAAATATCAACATAAAATGCTGGCAAAGTAAAGTATTAGAATTTCCCCACACATGGCTGACAGCTTGAACTGTTGGTCATGAATCCAATCAGTTATCGCTGACCCTCAACCTGTTGTCTACATATTTTGCTTGGTTGCTTTAAACTGATTCGAATACCTTGCTTCCACCTGAAGTTTGTGCTGATGTTTTTTTAGAAAAAGTTTTACGATTAAACCGTCCAGTTCAGAGGACAAAACTATGCCAAAACCATCCACTCAATGTACGATTCTCCACCGTCTCACTGCGTATGCAGCAAGTTTTTAGTATATTTGGTATACGGCTAGCAGTGAAATCTAGGACGCATGTTTTGTCCTATTAAGGTCTCACCATTGAAAAGATTCTCACGGACTACAATGACGTTAAAAAGAAACAGCAGTCCAGAAAACTCATTTTTATTGCAACTTTATTCTTGAAACTAAACAGCCTATATTACGTCGTTTACTAATGACCCACAATAACTTTCTACCGATAGTAATCAAGTATTAATTTTATCGGGGTTGAAAACAGAAATTTCATTATGCCCATAAAATAAAGCGATATAGGCGAGACTATAACTTATGGACGAACCAATCAAGTATAAGATAACGAGTCTCGGATTTCGGCTCGAAATTCGCCCATCCATTTGGATAAATAGAGTTTTGGCATTATGACTGATGTCAGTTCGTGATGAAAACCCTAAGTATAATTCCTAACCTTAACCATGAACTGTAAATCATAATTTGAACTCCTCGCACAGGTTTGTAACCCTCATTTGGTTTTAGTTATTGTGTGGACACTTTTAAAGTCACGCTAGCGTCACTCAAAAGTCGTCCATAAATTATAGTCTCACTCTTATAAATCTGATGTTCTCCGGTAAAATCAATTTGCGCATTTAGACACCTGATGCTTAAATGACAAGGGTTGAATAAAGATATGTATTTCTGTAACTTTGTTACTACTCTCGACGGCTACCGCCATGAAAGCAAGTCACTGGAAAGCAAAGAACAATACGACTGTGTAGCTTTTAATACAAAGTTGCGTCCTTTTTAGAGCAAAAAGGATTGGAGATTCAAGTCGCATAAACAAAATCACTTAGGTTTAAAAATGACCTAAATTCTCATGATAGAAATTATTAAGTCGTTAACTACTTTTTCTAAAAACCCGTACACCGGAAAGTCTCAAGCAGCACCAAAAAGGAGAGGAAATTGTGAAACATACCGTGTTGCCTACAACAGTCAAATCTTGATGTTAACTAATAGCACTACTACTTATTGAGACCGTTCTCATTAGTCAGGAACTAACATAAATATCTCTAAGTTCAAAAATTACCGAATGATTACAGGAACTAAAGGAACAGACCGACATTGACTACCAATAAAGTAGAAAGACTCACTTTGAGGTGTGGTAGTGGATAAAAAAAATAGCCATTAACGTCTTGTCCCTTGAGAAGGTTAAGAAGTTCGAAGCAAACATCTTGCAATAATGCTTGTCTTTGAGTTTCAGTGATACAAGAACTTTCACTTAATTCAGTTGACGTTTGTTCCGAAGCATACAAATTTTGGTTAGGATAATAATTGAGAGGTACGGAATGTTTCATAACAGGAACAGAATTCATATTTATTAGTGAATTATTGACTGGTTCATGGAGAGACGAATGAGGTATGAGACCTGTGGAATCGAGGAGTGACTCCAAAGTTATATGAGCTTGTCCATATTTGTTGGTAAACTGCACATGTGAAGCATTAGCCATGACGGTACGGTAAAAAAAAGCAAGGTAAATAGGTCTGCGTTTTCAAACCCGCCCGCCGTTTCTTTTTATCGACCTTGAACGGCCTGACACAAGGCGGTCATTCCGCATTTGAGTTGTTGCTGGTCTGTTGGGTGTCCATTGTGTTGCACGAATATCAGGTTTTCTCATATTTGAGTCTTGTTTTGCTGCAGCGAATTCGCGAAATCAATGCGAAAAGCGTTAATTTAGCTTTCTCTGTTTTGTAGTGTACAGTTTTGCTCCATTGTTGCTTCGTAACTTCACCTCGGATACCAATTACCCTACTGAACCTCACTGTCCCTGTTAAAAATTTGCCAGGGTTCACAAAACGGTATATAAGGATCAACTAAACAGTCAAATGTACGGTGAGTTTGTGTGAATCGTTGTTTCCTGCAAGAATTAAGACGAAATGTCGAGTAACCGGTAAATACTAAATGTTTGTAGTCCTTTCTTCAGTTATTAAAGTATTATCGCAAGAAATAATTTTTTAATAATCATTAAAAATTGCTTGTGGTGATTCGTGTTCAAGAGACATTCCAGTTGAGTTAAGCGAGGCGTTTCAACGCATAATACTTAACAAGCGTTTCGGAAGCTGAATTGACCACATGGTCTTCGAAGCCAAGCATATAATGACTGAAAAGATGTATATTCTACATGTACCACTTGGAGAAGGTCGGCGGTGATGTTCGTGGAGACATTCATTTAATCGGATAGCATGGCTCAGTCTTGCAGACGTGCTTATTATGTTTAACTTATTTATATTCACATCAAATATATTATTTATTCTTCAGCATAAATGTGTTGTTTAGAAGTACTAAGTATCATTGTTAATTGTCAAGATACGATAGTTCAGTGTAGATAGTCATGCTTTCCCACAGGGAAGTTCTGAATAAGATGAGAAGAGTGAAGGCCATGTGAGGTAAGGAATGGGGTCTTGGATGACATCAGTGTTTATGGAGCAAATATCAACACCAGTAAGGAAACGTTGTAAACCAACAATGTCACAACATCGATAATGTCAGACTCTCTCAGTAAACTTGTGATCCTCAGCATAGCCTCTCCAAATTTAATTTTGTTTCTCAAAGTCCTGCTGTGGTCGGCTGGACTCCTGGCAACAAAACGAAAAAGAATCAAGGTTTTTCGTCATAAATGCTCAATAACCCTGATCTTGTCAAAAAAGTGAGATAATAAGCCGGCTACACAACATAGACACAAAATTCAATCACTAACGATTGCTCAGCTTACTCTGAGGAAAGACACCAAACACCTAAACTGTCCGAAACCCTGGGTAAAATTCACTAGCACTGATAACGAGGAGGACGTTTTGCTGTCCAGTCACTTGCTGAAATCAGGAGACACGATGACACTGACCAACATACCCTATACGGTGACTAGTCTCACCAGGAACATCTCAAAGGAATCATCGTGCAATCTGTCTCGTAAAACATGGACCCTGATAGGACAGTTTACGGTACTCAAGGGCAGAAGTTCATAAAGTTGTCCTTGAAGATTAGGAACATCCGGGCCCAACAAGTGGTTCTATTATCCTAGAAGAACTGGGACCCCAGACCTCGGGAAACGAAGACAATCTTCACTTCTTCCCAAATAGCGACTGCAACTCCTTGAGCACTTCACGCTAACAGACGCTGGTTACTAACTGTAATCCACGTGCTTCTGAACAGGTCCTCTGAGTCAAGGATCAAACGCGAACGCTAACCCTATCAGACTATTCCATTTGTGGACTGTCGAAAAAAAACATAAAACATGGAGGGGACAAGGATAGGCTACTCTGAAAACCATATGTAGGTAGTTGCCTGTCGATTCTCATAAAACCCGTTTAAGTAATCAGAGAAGGGACAGACATGCTTTGTGAAATCGAAAGCATCACGAGCTTATACACTAACTCTGCGAGTCTACCGAATAAAATATTTGGCTTTCGTAAACTATGTACTAACTTAATTTCGCATGTCACTCCTCATAGAACATAGACCGCTCACCAGCATTTATCATCCAACTCTGTTCTGGGATCTACTCTCCAGTTGTTTCCAGTTGCTATTCACCCTTTTCATGTCTGCTTCCAACTTTCAGAGCATAGTGTCAATCAGCTCCTCCCTTTTTTTCGTTTCCCTTCAGGATGCTTCATGATGCAGTTTGATAATTTCCCCGATGTGTATCCTACCCACTTCCAACGTCCTTTCTCAGTTAGAACCCGAATTGTTCTCTCCCATAGTAGGCTGTCGCCCATGGTATTTGATCAACGGGCATTCAGTATCTTGAATAGAAAATTATTTACAAATACTTGTACATTTTTGATGATGTTTGTGGTAGTTTCCCACGTTTCAGATCCGTACAGTAGAACTGACTGTCTTCACGTTCGTATTAAAGATTCTCACTTTGATATTGGTAGGGAGTTGTTTGGAGTTCCATATATTCTTCAATTGTAAAAATGCTGCCCTTGCGTTTCCAATCCTCGCCTTTACATCTGCATCAGATCCTCCTTGTTCATCAATGATGCTTCTTATGTAAATAAATGTTTCCACATCTTCCAGGGTTTTGCTACCGAGTGTGATTTGGTTGGTTGTTGTATTTGAGAATCTTGCATTTCCTTTGTGTATGTTAGTGCCTATTGATGCAGGAGCCGCTGCCACATTAGTTGTCTTCATCTGCACTTGTTCGTGTGTATGGGACAGGAGGGTTGGGTCATGTGTTTAGTCCAACTCATCTAATTGATTCTGAGATTTCCATTGAATTCCGTACTTCCCCTCAGATGTCTAGGTTTTCATAATCCATTGAATCACCAGAAGAGAGAGGAGGGAGGAGAATAGACAGCCTTGTCTGACTCCGGTCCTTACTGAAAAGGCATCTGTCAACTGTCCTCCATACACGACTTAGCCCTGTAGTTTGTCGTATGAGTTCTGGATAATGTTGACTATGTTTTCAGGTCGAAGGAGTTTCCATAATGTTCTCTAGTCCAGACTGTCAAGCGCCTTCTCATAGTCAATGAAGTTGACGTATAGTGATGAGTTCCACTCAACTGATTGTTCAACGATGATCCGTAGTGTCGCAATCTGATCTGTGCACGACCGATCCTTACGGAATCCAGCCTGATGATCCCTAAGTTCGGCGTCTACTGCGTCTTTCATCCGATTCAGCAGCACTCTGTTGAAAACTTTTCCTGGTACTGATAACAAACTGATACCTCTGTAATCCTCACATTTGCTCAGATCTCCTTTATTTGGTATCTTGATGAGGTATCCTTCTTTCCAGTTCGTTGGCACATGTTCCTCCTCCCAAATCTTCTTGAATAATAGGTGAAGCATGTTTGCTGTTACTCCAATGTCTGACTTCAGTGCTTCAGCCGGTATATTGTCAGGTCCTGCTGCTTTCCTGCTGTTGATTTGTCTGATAGACACCTTGACTTCTTCGATCGTTGGTGTAGTGACAGATATAGGAAGGTCTGCGTTTCATGTTTCATCTTGGCCACAACCGGGTGGTGATCTGAAGCTATGTCATCTCTCCTGGTTCCTACATCTTCCATTTTCCTTCGGATTTTTTTGTTGATAAAGATATGATCTATCTGGTTCTCTATTGTGTGGTTCGGGGAGATCCATGTAGCTTTGTGTATGCATTTGTGTAGAAATATTGTGTCGTCTATAACCAATTTTTTGAATGCACATAGATTTGCAAACCTTTCCCTATTTTCATTTCTCTCCCCTAATCCATGTCGTTTAATTATATCTTTTTATCCTGTATTGTCCACTACGACTTTGACATTTAGGTCTCCCATTAAGATGCTGAGGTCCTTTCTTGGGCCCTT